CATTCAGCCCCGAGCATTAGCAGGAGCCGGGACTCGCTTGGGGCATGCTAACTGCCAGCAGGCTTCTGGGCAGTGTTCCCTCTAAGCTGAGTGAGTGTGAGCTAGCTCACAGTTTCTTAGCCTCCGGCTCACACATTTTTGTCCTAGCTCAGGAAGGAGGGCTCTAAAGCAAACTCATTTAGCAGTAGCCAAATCGCTTGCTCACAACTTTAATGCCAGTCGCCCACAAAGCAGAATTTTTGCTCACGGGATTCCACAGCTTAGAGGGAACACTGTTTATGGGCTACGTAACTCACACCCTCACGCCGACAAATCGCGCCAGCAACTAGTCTCTTCGGACAAAGCTCTGCACCTCCACGCTCGTGATCCTAGCTCCTGGTTCCCGTCTGGATTTCCTCGGCTCCTTGACCTCGGCTCGAACGACTACGCTTCGATTCTGCACCCCGAACTCTTGACTCTCTGGCTCTCGACTCTTTGGGACTCTGGTTTCCTGACGACTCTAACGGTTTGTGGTTTAAACTTGGTTTCCCGGTTGGTTTCCTTTCCTGGCTCTTGACTTTGGACTGTACCTTGACCACCCTGCTCTTGCTTTGTGTAATTGGACCTGGTTTCCAGCTAACTTGTGTGACTGGCTCTTCAAACTCGGACTGTATCCTGACTGCCTCGCCCCTGCCCAGCCCCGCATCGTGACACCCTACAGGACCGCGAGCCCGAATTGTCTCACCTGGGGGTCCTCGCTGGGATTGACGATCTGCCCCTGCCGGTCGATGACCCGGTAGACAGGGATCCCTGAGATAACATTGGGCTGGATGAACTCAAGCCTGTCCACGAATTCAGCCGAGGCACCCGGGAACTGGGGTTTCTCTTCCAGCGAGGTAAAGTCTTCCTGCTGCCGAAGGGATCCCTGGTGGGGGGGGGGGAGAAAAGGACAAGAAGCCATGTATGTGGCATCTCACACCCGGCACAATGAACCATGCCACCTCCTGCGGGTTTCGCAGGCGTCGGATGTCCCTTGCAACGGCTGCAAAAAGCCTTTCTGTCCCGTTCCAAATGGGGGCCATAACACTAGAATTTGCTTACGGCTGGGGGCTTTCAATGATAGCCACAAAAGTTCGTGGACCCGCTGTATAGCCCTATGACCCTTGACCCCTTTGCTTCGCCCCTGTGCTTTTCTTTGCTGCTCCTTGTAACCTCCCCTGGTGCTTCCTCGTTGCACAATAGCGCCTGCAGCGGTTATACACACATACATACCAGGTGTCCCCAACGCGGTGCCCGTGGGTGCCCGACAAGTGTTTTAGATAGTGGTGGGGTTAGCCAGGGCTTTTGCAAAGCAGGGCTTCTGACTGGCCGGCCAGATTGAAAGCCATCTTGTTAAACAGAGCGACCGCCCGAAATGTTAAAAAAGCGCCGTCAAGAGTTTGTCATTCAGGGCTCTGTTTGTAGAAAAAGCCCAGCAGGAACTCATTAGCATAATAGGCCACACCCAACAGCAGGAACTCATTAGCATATTGGGCCACACCCCTGACAGCACAGCTCATTAGCATATCAGGCCACGCCACCATGTTACCAGAAGTGTGGTCATCCAGCCACACCCACCTTTTGCTTCTTATTCTGTTGACCTAGTTTGTGGTCAAAACCCAGGGCCTTTTTTTGTAGCAGGAACTCCTTTGCATGTTAGGCCACACACCCCTAATGTAGCCAATCCTAAGGAGTTTCTGCTGCTGGGTGTGACCTATTATGCTAATGAGTTCCTGCTGGGCGTGGCCAACTTGGGAGCCAGTCGGAACTCCGTTCCTGTGCGTTCCTTCCCAAAAATAGCCCTGGTCATGATCCTGGGCCTATAGTGGCGCGGCCTAGCGGCTCCAGGGAAGCCTGTATTGGAGTAGCTATCCAGGCCTACGTTTCCAAGGTCACCCTCTGGACCCTGTGATTGGCTAAGAGGGGATTTGGAGGGGAAACTTACACCAATAGAGCTGACGGGGGCGGTGCTGGTTTACCTGCCTTTACTGTGTTCGTTTTTCCTACACGTTATTAAATCACAGCTGTTGTTAAATCTCTTTAATGAAAATAGTTTGTGACCCCGCCCGGGTCCTCACACCTCATTCGGTCACTTATAAGGGGGATCCTACTGGGAAAGGGTCTAAAGGGGTCGGGTGGTGGCGGCCACTAGAGAACCTTTCTAGCCACTCCTTGCGACAGAGTTATCTATAACCTCACCCTCTGATACGCTGCGGTCGGCTCTGCCTCGTGCGGCAGCCATTCCGCAATTGTGCCTACTGCCCTGTGCCGGAATTCCAAAGGTGCCCACAGGCTCAAAAAGGCCGGGGAGCCCCTGATATAGGCCTTTCTTTGTTGTGAAGATCAGCCATTGATAGACAGAGTCATCGGCGCTTCTACACATAACACAATTTCAAAGACGCATAACAGGCTGATTTCAGTAGGCTGCTTCCTCGTTAGACAGGCCAAGGCGTGAAATTCGGCAGGCAGGGGTAGAAGAAATCTACAGTGACCAAGACTGGGAGACTGGTGGCCACGAGAGTAGCTGGGAGAACCGGGTTTGATTCCCCACGCCTCCACATGCGGCTGCTGGTGTGACCTTGGGTCAGTCACAAGTTCTCTCAGAGCTGTTCTCTCAAGAGCAGTCCTTTAAAGAGCTCTCTCTGCCCCATGTACCTCGCAGGCAGTGTTCCCTCTAAGCTGAGTTAGTGTGAGCTAGCTCACAGTTTTCTAGCCTCCGGCTCACAGATTTTTGTCTCAGCTCAGGAAGAACAGCTCCAGAGCAAACTAATTTATACGGTTGCCAAATCGCTCGCTCAGTTTTAATGCCAGCAGCTCACAAAGTAGAATTTTTGCTCACAAGACTCCACAACTTAGAGGGAACATTGCTCGCAGGGTGTCCGTTGTGGGGAGGGGAAGGGAAACGAGATTGTAAGCCGCTCTGAAACTCCTTTGGGTAGTGAAAGGCAGGGTATAAATCCAATCTCCTTCTCCTCCTCCTGTACTACAACTACTACTACTTCTTCTTCTTCTCCTAACCGGCTTACTTCATTCTCCTCTATTATTCCCCTCACAACAATGCTGTGAGGTAGGTTCGGCTGAGAATGAGTGACTAGCCCAAGGTCACCCAGCAGGCTTCCACGGCAGAGCAGAGATTCGAATCTGGGTCTCCCAGATCCTAGTCCAACACTTTAACTAGAGCCCCAAAGAAGTAAAGATCATTTGAAATTATGTCATAACCAGTGTTCCCTCTAAGCTGAGTTAGTGTGAGCTAGCTCACAGCTTTTTAGCCTCCGGCTCACAGATTTTTATCTTCGCTCAGGAAGGAGGGCTCCAGAGCAAACTAATTTATGCAGCGGCCAAATTGCTCGCTCACAACTTTAATGGCTGCAGCTCACAAAGTAGAATTTTTGCTCACAAGACTCCACAGCTTAGAGGGAGCATTGGTCATAATGGGCATGAATCCTTTTTCCTTCCAAAAGTATAACAGTCTACCACGCAATGTTCCCTCTAAGCTGTGGAGTCTTGTGAGCAAAAATTCTACTTTGTGAGCTACTGGCATTAAAGTTGTGAGGGGGCAATTTGGCTACTGCATAAATCAGTTTGCTCTGGAGCCATCTTTCCTGAGCCAAGACAAAAACGTGTGAGCCGGAGGCTAAAAAACTGTGAGCTAGCTCACACTAACTCAGCTTAGAGGGAACACAGTCTACCAGTCCTTTGGACTGCAGTGTCTTCAAGCTTCGTATAAGGGGTTAATCCAACCATAGCTCAAACTTCATTGAAGTTACAGCACTGAGGAAGTATGAGTTGTGAAGCAGAGGTTCCTGGTTCGAATCTCACCACAGCCCGGCTTAATACAGGGAAACCTTACTGGACTGTTGTAAATTACCGACACGCTTCCAGGAAATGTGTCCTGTGGTGACACCAAAGTGTGATGGGATAGCAGAATGTGACTGTACAGACCATTAATGTTTCAAATTTTACTGCTAGATCGAGGTGGGCAGCCGTGCTGGTCTGAAGCAACAGAACAAAGTTAAGAGTCCAGCGGGGCACCTTTAAGACCAACAAAGTTTTGTTCAAGGTGTGAGCTTTCATGTGCAAGACACACTTTTATTCCAGGTGTGAATTCTCCTGCGCAAAGCACCCTTTGACGAAGTGTGCTTTGCACACGAACGCTCACACCTTGAATAAAACTTTGTTGGTCTTAAGGGTGCCACCGGGACTCTTTGTTCAGTTTTACTGCTGTTTACCACCTTGGATCTTCTTTGCCAACACACAACAGTATAGCCGTGTTTGTTCCCGTTCTTTTCAAACACCCCCCCTGCTTCCTCCACCCTCCTGAAGTTTCAGTTGACAGCTCTTTTCTTTTAATTCAGTAAAAGCCTTCATCCCTCTTAAAGAGGTTATGCTGTTCAAAAGAACAGCAGATTTAATCTCCGGATCGAGGAGGGAACGTTTTAATCGACATGCCCGAACGAACGTCCTTCTGGTTGTCTTTTTGAGAAGTAAAAAAAAACGGTCTCTGTGTATTTCTGTCCAACCAGCCAACCCCAAGGAGGGGGTGGGTGTTAACCAGAAGGAGTCCTGGGAAAGAAATACGCACTCTCTCACACCCCTTGCAGCGGGCCAATCGGATTGCAGGAAATCACACTGGGAACTGAATTCCCCACTCTCTCCTAGAGTTTCTGCAAAAGAATAAACCGGATTTCTTTCCCCTACGAGCCCTCCACGTACACGAACAAACCTCACACATTTAAGAAACTCGACTCTTCCTCTTGAAAATAGATTTTAGCATCATTGAAGTGCATGCACACGCCCCATATTTTTTTTAACTGCCCCCCAAAGGGGCAGGATTTTATTACATTTTCCGCATAACATACACAATCAATCATAACATATACATACATATTCATACATACATACTAACATACAAACAAATACATGGAGGTTATTCTTAATTCTACCAATATTTACACTAATACCTATTCCGCCTTAATAACAATTTCTCATGAACTGTGTAAGCAACTTTTCTGTCTCTGTCATCCTAACAAGTATACGGTATATTTCATTTAGTCTCTTGCAAGCTTGCCTACATATGTTTGTCGTACCAGTTATAAAACCGTGACCAAGTATTCTCAAATGTCGAATCTGTTGCGCCTTTTATCAATAAAGTCAACTTGTCCGATTCCGCCCCATATTTACAAGGGAGCAGCTCCCTTTGACTTCAATGTAACTTATTCCACAGCGGCCAGAAAGAGCCTTAATTGTACAGCAATGGGGCAGATAGATGCAAGTCTTGAAACCGACTATTTGGGATATTCATTGTTATGGATTCAAATCCTGCGACCATATGCCGGAGTCTATGGGAAAGGGGGCCGCGGGCAGCAATGCTCCCTCTAAGCTGTGGAGTCTTGTGAGCAAAGATTCTCCTTTGTGAGCTCCTGGCATTAAAGTTGTGAGCGAGCCATTTGGCTGCTGCGTGAATGGGTTGGCTCTGGAGCCCTCCTTCCTGAGCCGAGACAAAAACGAGTGCGCCGGAGGCTAAAAAACTGTGAGCTGGCTCACACTAACTCAGCTTAGAGGGGACGCTGGCTGGGCAGCCCTACGGACTCTCCGGGCATCCCTGTCGGGTGGGCGGACAGGCAGCCCCACGGACTTCCCTGGCACCCTGGTTGGCAGCGCTAACCCTTGATCGTTGCTTCCCTTCCCAAAGAGAGAGACCCCCATTCCTGGCTCCTTGGCACCTCCCCTATTCAACCCCTCTGCCAGAGCTGGGGTGGGGGCTGGGGCAGAGGCGAAAGGGGAGGGGGGAGAGGCCAAATCTGACTCAGCGGATTGGGGCCTGCCTCCTCCTCCTCCTCTCTCAGCCTAGCCTACCTTACAGGGCTGTTATGGGGATAACATGGGGGGGGGAAACACGCCATGAAGGCCACTCCCTCTCTCAGCCTAGCCTACCTTACAGGGCTGTTATGGGGATAACATGGGGGGGGGAAACACGCCATGAAGGCCACTCCCTCTCTCAGCCTAGCCTACCTTACAGGGCTGTTAGGGGGATAACAACACGGTGGTGGGGAAACACGCCATGAAGGCCACCCCCTCTCTCAGCCTAGCCTACCTTACAGGGCTGTTATGGGGATAACAACATGGTGGTGGGGAAACACGCCACGAAGGCCACCCGCAGCTTCCTTTAACAGAGTTAAAATAATAATAGCAACAAGAACAACCAGAACTAATAAGGGAGGAGTGGAAGCCAGGAGTCCTTTTCTGCGTCTCTTCCTTCCTCCAACCTCTAGACTCCCCCAACGGATTTGCCATGATGTCCCTACCCGAAGGTGACCCTCTGCGGCGCTGATCCACGGGGGGG